AAGAGGGTCAATATAGGGACTACACATGAAGCTCTTAAAACAATGCATGGTATACAAAAAGTGCTCATTAGTTGACAGTTATCATTCAGTTTAGTGGCCAAACACATGGGCTCTGGTGCCCAATGAATCTGGCTTCAAATCTAGCTTTGTGACCATGGGCGACTTAATTAACTTTTCTGAGCTTCAGTTTCTCCACCTGTAAAACTGAGATAATAATGTCTACTTAATGGGGTTGTTGAGAGAATAAGTGGCATTATGTAGGTAACAGGTACCCAGTAATTGTTAGCTCTCTTCATGTTCTAAGTATGTATTTATAAATGAATGCCAGTTCTGTCCTCAAGATGTATAAACAAAATTACTCTAGTTGCTACCACGATGATAGACTGATTATTGCTGGTATTATGTTTATGTCTCAGGCTCCTCTCCACACCTATAGCAACCTCAGCACTGCCCAGTGCATGACAATAGTCCATTGTTAAGAGAGAAGAGTTCTTCTCCTTCTATGACAAGCCCTGCCTTTTCAACTGACACCAGCATGTGATTAATCTTCATAAGGTGTCTACCTAGTTTAAACCAAAAACTGTGTTGCTGGTATTACAGGTTTTACTCTTATAAATCTCAAACTCCATATTATTTCATTCATTAAATTATTATTTTTAATACCACCAGTACTTATATAATTTTGACATCCATTTTTCTGCAATAAAACTGATAAAGGGTTTTCTTAATGCATTTGTAACAATTACAAAATGTCATTGCAAATGCCCACAAGCTTCTGGACACAACAGTGACCTCCTTCTCCCCACTCCTTTCAATCAGGCTGAGTGGAGAGGGTGTTTCTCCGGTTAACATCTGTGAGTATGACATCCTTTGTGCCATCTGGAGTATATGTGGGGTTGGGGGGCAGGGAGGCGGTGGGCATGCATGAGGCATTGGAGGGAATCCCACCAAAAGGGCTCATTTTGAGAAGGTTTGAGGTTTTGAATCTGTTAAAAAGAGAGTCATATTAGCAGAGAGTCTTCCATGTCACAATACTTAACTCTTTGCAATTGAAAGATGCCACAGAGGGAGTGATGGGAGGTTTGCTGCACTCCTTCCTCTTGGGTTTGGAAGACTCCCAGGCCACACCCCCCACCTCCCAGAACTTCACATATTTCTTGCTGGGGCTGCAGATCTAGCTCAGAGATAAGCGTTCGATGTAGACAGAATTTATGAGAACACCTGGTCTGCCCTCAGTGTTTGAAGGGAGCCTTCATGTGGAGCACAAGGGCATTGCCATTTAGACAATTTGGGAAGAAGCTCCACTGCTTGGCCTAACTCTGCAGAGTATAACTGTGGAGAGTTACCAAGGATTTTCAAGGCAGTGAGAGCCCATAAGTCACAGCAGGTGGGAGCAGCTACTAACAAACAGGAGAGGTTAGCAAGCTGGCCCCACTCCGCATGGGTAAGAGCAGAAGACGTCACTCACAGAACTCAGGGCTGGCCATCTTGAGACCAACAGAAATGAGTTCTGCAACTTACACTCCACAAGCAAGTTTGGTTTTCTTGATGTGGGATTCAAAAAAAAAAGCAATCGATTGTATTAGCCAACGGTTCTAGAAGGCAGAGTCCTCTGAACTGCTCAGGTGTCCTTGGGAATGCACATCCCTGGGAATGGACAGCACAACCTCTGAAGTTTCCTTTCTCTTGAAAGCACCTAAAAGTCTGTATTGGTTTCCTAGGGCTGCCACCACAAGGTACGCAAACTGGGTGGCTTAAAACAGCAGAAGCCTATTGTCTCACAGTTCTCCAAGCTGGAAATCCCTAAGTGAGGTACCAGCACGGCCGTGCTCCCTGTGAAACCTGGAGGGGAGAGCACCCCCGCTCCTTGCTTCTTCCAGCTTCTGGTGGCTGCTGTCACTCCGTGGCTCGTCACTCCAATCCCTGTCTCTGATCATATTGGCCCTTTCCTTGTTGTCTGTCTTCACATAAGGACTTTGTCCCTCTTCGTATAAGGACACTAGTCATACTGGCTTAGGGCCCGCCCTAATGACTTTTCTCTGAACTTGATTATGTCTGCAAGATCCTATTCCAAATAAGATCACATTCACAGGTCCTAGAATTCCACATATGTTTTTGGAAGCTACAATTCATCCAATAACACAGACTCTATTTTTTAGTTCAATTTTTCTTCTCAAGAGCCCAAAGTAGGATACTAGATGTTTAAGGTGGCGGTAGTTATAAAATGTAGGGAAACAGCAGGTTGGGAAGAGAAGAGAGACCAGTGGGTCATCTGTCACTTGGTCTATCAAGAACATTCCAGCCTCTCTCTGGGATTCAGAGCATGGAGGAGGCCGGGGGACACCAAGGAAAGCACAGAGGTGCCCCCCTGTGAGCTTCCAGAATGAAAGGAGACACCAGAGCCAGGCTCACAAAGAGAGACAGGGACAAAGCCAAAGGGGTAGGTGCGGTGAGATCAAAGGGGAAGGCAGGTGGACTGCAATAGCTTCCCAGAGGAGAGACTTCTCCATTAAGTTCTGGAAGGAAAACAGAGGCGCTGAGTAGCGGAGGGGAGGCAGAGCCATTTCAGACTGGGAGAAAGCCCAGAGCCACAGCGCAGAAAGAACCGAGGCTGAGGCACTGGGCCAAGGACAGGGGAGTGCCGGGGGCGGGGATCAAAAGAAGGCTAGTATCTGCCTGACCAGACCACACCATCCCCACCCAAGGAACTTCAGGGCACAGGCCCTGACACCCCAGGTCCCCAGGTGTCTTCACTCCTGCCCTTAATTCTGACCGTGTCTCCTCTCTTCCTGCAGCTGTGGTCACCTCCACCATTTCCAGTGGCTACGGCGGTGGCAGCAGCATCGGAGGTGGAAGCCTGGGTCTTGGTGGGGGCAGCGGCTACTCCTTCACCACCAGCGGTGGGCACAGCTTGGGTGCGGGCCTGGGGGGCTCCAGCTTCAGTGCTGGTAGCAGCCGGGGCCCTGGGGGCAATGCCTCCAGTGTCAAGTTTGTCTCCTCTACATCCTCTAGCCGAAAAAGCTATAAGCACTAAGTACAACCACCCCACTCCCTCACCCCATCCTGAAATCAGATCTGCCCACTGACCTGGTCCTCCTCCTGCTCCCCTTCACAAGGTCCACCTGTGCTGCTAGGAAGCCTGGCATTGTGGCTAAACCCCATTTTCCAACCTGAGCCAGCCTCTGGCCTCCTGACAGTTGCCAGACTGCCCCTGGTGCCCTCTCTGTGCCAAAGTACAGAGGCTTTCAAGGTTCACATTCAGCTTGTCTAGCAAAGACTCCCCCTTCACCCCTGCCTCCCTCCCTCCCTCCAGATGCAGAAATGGGGAGGCCGAGTCTCCCAGGCTGTCTTAATGCCAGGCTGTTAATCCCGTTGTCTTATGGTGCTTATAAGCTGTCTGCTGGGAGTGAGGGCTCCCTCTCTCCCCTCCCCGGAATGTGTCAATTAAATGTATGTGTAATGTGTTTGGTGTCCAGCCCTCTGTTTGGAATGGTGACTGAGCACAGAGCAATTCTCCACCACCTCCACCTCCTCCTTCTCCAGGTCTCCTCCAAGCACAAGGTCCCACACAAAGAGTGCTCAGAACACATCAAACTTCCCTTCCCCACTCCTGCCCAGAGCTAAGAAGACCGGACTGGGGAGAGATGGGATGAACAGGAGGGCAGACTCCGCACCCAAGCTTCTGCCCGTTTCCTCCTGCCTCTCATTGGGATGCCTTCTTGAAGAAGCCCAAGCCCCTGGGCAGAAGCTCTTCCAGCCTCCTCACTACATATGTCATGCAGGGCGATGCCATCCCCTCCCAAAGCCAGACTGTCTTTCCAGGACACTGACGTAGGGTGGGCTGCCCAGCCCTCACCTAGCAAAGGGGCCATTGTTCCCTGACAGCTTCAAACTTGCAGACCTGAGCAGAGAAATAACAGGGCAGGAGTGGAGTTAAAAGCCCGCCCTGGGGCAGTGCTTTCACCTGGCAGAGGAGGCATTCAGGCCCATAATTGCAGCTATAAGACATCCGGGAAGCTCCCGCATTCCTGAGTTTGCAGTCTCCTGGACCCCTCTCATCAGGGAAAATTTGGAAGCGTTGAAGGGGAGAGGATGACAAGTAGGAGGGAAATGACACTGAGAACAACTTAAAGATAGATCCCTGGTGGGGTGGGGGTGGGAATGAGCAAATTAAGACCTGGGACAAGAGGAGTAGAGGGGACAGGAATTTGGAGTGAAATCCGGAGTCCTCTTCTCTTTGCCAAGCCACCTCTGTCCATCACTGTGTGGTGCAGTCAGACCACGGGGCCCCCACATCGGCGCAGCAGTCACTAGCTATGCAGAGTCTGCCAAGTGTCTTTACTCTGTGCCTCAATTGCTTCACGTGCAAAACAAGAACAGTAATCACCACCACAGGGTGCTGTGTATAGATTGTATGAGTAGACAAGTGTAAAATAGCTTCCCATAGTAGGTGCTCAGTAAATGTCAGCAATTTTTATTGCCACCCACCCTCACAAAGTTATCATGAAAATCAAACGACACAGTGCTTGCAAATGACCTGCCACATGATCTCACACAGACTGAATCTTCAGCAAATGGGGTTTCTTTATAAGTGACCATAATGATGGGAAGGGCATAATCAAGCGCTTGGGTTCAGAGTCCAAGACCTGGAAAGCAAGATGAGAGGAGCAGATGAGCTAGAGAAGGAGTGTCTCCAGCATGTGGCAGAGAACCTGGGCAGGCGGGGGGCTCAGGACCCAGGCCTGCCCTGGGCTCGAATGCCCAGGCCCAGTCCTGTCCTAGCTAGGGTGTTCCCCATGATGATTAGTGGGGCAGGAAGATGGGCCGTGGCCAGACATGCCATTGAAATGAACTCAACACAGTGGTCTTTGATCTTCTTCGGCCAAGCCCAGTTCTTGAAAAGGATAAAAGTCAAGGAGATTTTGAGAGAGTTAGACTCTGAAGTCTCCTCATCCTTTTGACATTTTTGCTCCTCTGACCCTCTGGCTCCAGCTCCCATCATGACCCAACGATCCTCTATCACCGTCAAGTCAGGGGGCACTCGGAACTTCAGTACTTCCTCAGTGAACCTCCTCCCAGGCAGCCGGAACAGCTTCAGCTCTGTCTCCGTGACCCAGGGCGGGAAGAGCTTTGGGGGTGGCTTTGGGGGTGGCTTTGGGACCAGGAGTCTCCACGGCCTTGGAGGCAGCAAGAGAATCTCCGTCAGCGGGGGCTACCGCTCCAACCGGGGCTTTGGTGGCGCTGGCTATGGGATGGGTCTTGGCGGTATAGGGTACAGGGTAGGGGGATTTGGAGGAGGGATGATGCCTGGAGCTGGGGGCATCCAGGAGGTCACTGTCAACCAGAGCCTTCTGACACCCCTCCACCTGGAGATCGACCCCTCTCTCCAACGAGTGCGGAAGGAGGAGAAGGAGCAGATCAAGACTCTCAACAACAAGTTTGCCTCCTTCATCGACAAGGTGAGAGGCAAGTGGGGTGCCCACCAGAAACTCTGGGGGATCTCTACTCTCTGTGCTTTTCTAAGGTCAACTGAGATTTGCCCAAGACCTGTGGTCTTGGGGAGTGAGAAAACTACTGACAGGATGGAGGATGGGGTGGTTTCCCATTTTGTTGAGGTGGGAGAAGAAAATGTCCACCTCCAGGCTTCAGAGCTTTCTGACTTACTGCAAGGACATTCCTCTTGTGATGGCTAGTGGTCGTGTAATGGGATTAAAATTAGACCCTGAAAGGGGACCAGTTTGGAGGGAAGAAGATAAAGGAAAGAAAGGTTACAAATTCAGTTCATAGAAGTGGGCTGAGGTCACTTTTTCCTGCCCAGTTTAATAGGAGCAAGAGGCCCCCATGGCGACCTCTCTAGTGATCTGGGTATGTCTGGGAAGCTGGTCGTCAGCCAGGAGCTGCTCAAGTGTTTCACTCTTTTCTTTTGGGAAGAGGAAAGCTGTGACTTCAGCCCTGGGCCCCCATTGTTGTGTGGCCTGGAATCCTAGGGATTTTCCCAGTTTGGGGAAATAAATAATTCTATTTTAGATTTTATTTTGCATCACCACTGGTTCACACCTTAGCTGGTTGTTTTTGCCTGGAAAGAACCAGTTCAAGGATCTGGGTCATTCAGATTCCACACCTGGGATCTAGAAAAAAGCATGCCAACCTAAGACGCAACCAGCCCAGGTCCATTTTTGGCTCTCCTGGTAGAATCCCTAACTTCTCAGGCCTTGGTTGGATTGGGCAGATGAACTCCAAGGTGCCTTCGCAGGCCTAACAGTCTATGAAATGCCTCATCATATGGACCCAAGTCTTTAAATGTGTAAAACCTAACCACTGAGGCAGTAGTTATTCACCTTTGTCAATGATGTCACCCCACTTGGCCTGGTGTTCACATCAACAGCTGTGAGATTTCCAGGAGACTGGCTCTGAGGGAAAGAACGTGGGCCCTGCTTTTCCTAGTTTCATCTGGATGGGGCATGGGGAATAAAGGGCTGTAACTAGGGAGGGACTTGGAGCCAGGATTGCCCTCCTTCCTCTGATAACAGGTGGGGTAGGTGCATTTGTCAAAGACCCTCTGCAGGGCATATTGCCATCTCCAGCCTTGGAGGCTATTCCTTCATTCTCTGAGGTTGTGTGTCATTCCATCTGTTCCCAAGGGAAGGACTTTGTTTAGGGAGAAAGTGTTGCATACGTTTCCAGGCTAAGAGGCTGCTAAGTGCAATTCAAAAAAGCCAAATTTGTAGCACAAGACCACAGAGGACCTGAGAGAACAGAGAGAGGAAAGGGCTTTTCGAGGCCACAAAGCTAGCGGGACATGGCTGAGACTATGCCCAGATCCCCTCCATGCCACTCCAGTGTGTCCCATTCTAGCATGCCTGGGGTGTGTGGGCAACTGAGTCCCAGCTTCCAGATCTCAAGAAATTGTATTGGAAAGAAAATACACAGGTTGAATTCTCTGCCAAGAACCCTATCCATTTAATGGGAATCAAAATGTCACCCAGTAATGTGATGGTAGACTGTTCTTTTCTTCACCTACCACACATCAGCATGGTTTGGTGTGGTCAGAGTTCCCAGCCCCTTTGGGCCTCCATGATTCTCTCCCCTCCAAACCAAGCCACCACCTTGTCCTGGGCCCATTGCACCTACGTTTGCTTAGCTCTCTACATTCCAGGCTACTTCCAGGCTGAGGATGATGAGGAGGAACCTGCCACCTGGACTATGAGGCTTTGCAGAGCACCCCCTTACACTGTTTGATAAGGAGGGTCCTGGGAGGCTGCTGCAAGGAAGCCCTCACAGTCTCTCACCTCTGGCGGGGGCAGGTGCGGTTCCTGGAGCAGCAGAACAAGGTCCTAGAGACAAAATGGAGCCTCCTGCAGGAGCATAAAACCACCAGGGCCAACATCGAGCCCATGTTTGAAGCCTACATCAGCAACCTGAGGCGGCAGCTGGACAGCCTGGGTGGGGAGCGGTCAAGGCTGGAGACAGAGCTGAAGAACATGCAGGACGTGGTGGAGGACTTCAAGAACAAGTGAGTGCATGCTCAGCCAACTCCTCCAAAAGTGCCCAGTGGGACACACAGTTTAGGGCACCAAGGCAGACTCAGAAAGTGAACTGGGACCCTACCTTTAAGAATGTTGGGGCTTTGGGGAGAGGCTGGCATTACATAGGATGAAACATGGGCACAGAGAGCATGATGCACATGACAACCTGGTAAATTCTGCAGATGAGGAAAATAAGGCTCTGAGAGAGTAACTGACTTATCCAAGTGTATACAAGTGGCAACTCACGAGTTAAGAATTAAACCCATTGAATCTCACCCTCTCATTTGTTCAATTCATTCCCATTACTAATTTACACAATGCCCACTTATTTGCCTCAATCCTGACCAAGGGGTGGGGAACAGAGGAAAGAAACCCATATATGCGGCCCTCTCCCTGGCAACACACACCCATGCCACTAAAGATGTGCCTATAGGTATGAGTAATTTCTTATTTTTGTTGTTCTAATTTATTTCTAATTGTCTTTAAAATAAGTCACTCAACGAGCAGTTTTAGTTACTGTTTGTGCAATGTGGTAAGAGCTAAGGCTCTAGAGTTGTGCTAACATGGTAGCCACTAGCCACACATGCCTATGTAAATTTAAGCTCATTAAAATTGAATAAAATTTTAAATTTAGCTCCTCCATCACACTAGCCACATTTCTGGTGCTCAGTCCACATGTGGCTAACGGGTGCCATGGCAGATGCAGATATAGAGCATTTCCAAGACCACAGAAAGTTATAGACAGCAGTATCATATCTAGTCAGTGGCTTTAGAATCTTGTCTCAACAACTTACTAGCTGAAAGACCTAAAGAAAACTCATTTCTTTTTAATGTATTTTCTTGATTATGCTATTACAGTTGTCCCAATGTTTTCCCCTTTGTCCCCCTCTCCCTGGTACCCACCTTCCTTCCAGCAATCCCTCACACAAGTTCATGTCTATGCATTGTTCATATAAGTCCTTCGGCTTCTCCATTTCCTATACTATCTTAACACCCCCCCTATCAATTTTGTACCTATCCATTATGCTTCTTAATCCCTACACCTTTACCCCATTTTCCCCCTTCTCCCTCCCAAGTGATTGATAATCCTCCAAATGACCTCCATATTTATGATTCTGTTCCTGTTCTGTTGTTTACTTTGTATTTTTTTAGATTCAGTTATTGATAATTGTGAATTTGTTGCCATTTTAATGTTTATAGTTTTGATCTTTTTCTTAAACAAGTCTCTTTAATATTTCATGTAATAATGGCTTGGTGATGATGAACTCCTTTAGCCTTACTTTGTCTGGGAAGCACTTTATCTGCCCTTCCATTCCAAATAGTAGCTTTGCTGGATAGAGTAATCTAGGTTGTAGGTCCTTGCTTTTCATCACTCTGAATACTTCTTGCCAGTCCCTTCTTACCTGTGAAGTTTCTTTTGAGAAATCAGCTGATAGTCTTATGGAAACTCCTTTGTAGGTAACTCTGCTTTTTTCTTACTGCTTTTAAGCTTCTCTCTTTATCTTTAAACTTTGGCATTTTAATTATGATGTGTTTTGGTGTGGCCCTCTTTAGGTCCAACTTGTTTGGGATTCTCCATGCTTCCTGGACTTGTATGTCTATTTCCTTTGCCAAATTATGGAAGTTTTCTTTGCTGTTTTTTTTTATAAATTTTCAATTTTTTGCTCTTTCTCTTCTTCTGCCACCCCTATGATTCAGATGTTGGCACATTTGGAGATATCCCAGAAGCTTCTTATACTATCTTCATTTTTTTTTTTTAATCCTTGCTTCTTCTCTCTGTTCTGGTTGAATGCTTATTTCTTCCTTATGTTCCAAATCATTGATTTGAACCCCAGCTTGCTTCCCTTCACTGTTCCTTATAGATTTTTCTTTATTTCACTTAGTGTAGCCTTCATTTCCTCCTTTATGTTGTTGCTGTATTCAATGAGTTCTCTGAGCATCTTGATCACCAGTGTTTTGAATTCTGCATCTGATAGGTTGGCTATCTCCATTTTGTATAGTTCTTTTTCTAAAGTTTTTTCCTATCCTTTCATTTGGGCCATGTTTCTTTGTCTCCTCAATTTTGCAGCTTCCCCATGTTTGTTTCCGTGTATTAGGTAGAGCTGCTTTGACTCTGTCTTAGTAGTGTGGCTTATTGTCAAAAAGGTACCTGTAAATTGTGTAGGGTGGCTCCTTAGGTAATTGCCAGGGTGGGGCAATCCACTTCACCACTTTGTGGCTCAGTGTGTGGGGAGGTCTCAGAGAGGGGACAGTGCCGCTACCTGGTTTCTGGAGTTTTACCCAGCACTCACCCCATTTTCAGTCACTTTACCTACTCTCCTTATGCAACTGGTACCCTTCTAGATGTTGCCCTGGTGCTGAATCCCAGAGTGGGTAGGTTTGCATACATTTTAAGACTATGCAGGCCCTTTAAATGGAGTCTCCTGGAAATCCAACAGTTTCTTCTGCTGTCCCAACACCTACTGGTTTTTACAGCCAGAAGTTATGGGGATTTATCTTCCTGGTGCTAGAACCCTGGGTTGTGCAGTCTGGTCTGTGGCTGGAATGGCTCCCAAGGTATCCATCCCGATTTTTATCTGCCACACATGAATATGGGGCCACTCATTCCCACTGCCACCTCAGTGTGTCTTCTCGCCTCTCCACCCATCTCCATGTCTCCACCCCTCCTACAAGTCTGGGTGAATGTGGCTTCTTTAAATCCTTGGTTTTTGGACTTTGATGCAGTTTGATATTCTGACAGTTCTGGGTGTTATTTATTTATTACTTGTTTTGAGGTTTAGTTGTAATTCTCTCTGTGGTTTCGTGAGGAAGTGAAGCATGTCTACCTATGCCTCCATCTTGACTGGAAGTCTGATGCCTACTTTCTTAAATGCACGTTTCAGTATGGTGGTCTAAGTGACCTACGCAGGTGAATGGAGCCCTGCCAAGTCGTAAGTGAGTCAGGCAGTGAAATGATGGTAAGCGGGAGACTCAAAAAACTCACTTCTGTAAGCCCCAATTCCTTTGTCTGTTAAAGGGGATACTAATGGTACCTACGTTATATGGGGGGTTGAAAATATTAAATCAAAACTTGCATATGAACTACTTGGAAGAGTGCCCAGTGCCTGGAACATAGTAAGTTGTTAATACGTGTTAGCTATTTTTATTGTATTGATGTTTAGGTATATGTAGTGACAAGGAAAGCAAGTGCAGATGAATGCAAATGTGGAGTAACAATGCCTCAATCCAAGAAGGCTTCTTGGAGGATGAGATGAAAGCTTAATGCTGAGAAGGAAAGAGGCACAGAGGAAGGATTTGGGGGGTTGAAGAGTGTGCCCCCAGTTAACGGATGGCAATGTTCCTGCAGCAGGTGTCTAAGAGGCCTGTGCAGAGCCACTTGGTGCTCACCTTCTGGCAGAAGGCCTGTGAGCTGGGAAACACAGAAGACAAGGACATCTGCATGAAATTAGTTGAAGAACAGATGTTTGTATTTGGTGAAAAGGCAATGCAAGGAAACAATAAGGAAAACCAAATCAATTGGCAGGAAAGAAGTTATCTCAGGTCCTACTGGACAGCACAGGCAATTTAAAAGCAGGGGAGATGTGATTATATACATCATGTGGGACAGTGCTTTGTGGTTTCAAAAGAATAACAACATGCCATTTCATTGAGGGGAAGGGCACCTATGAGAGGTTAAGTGACCTGCCTGGGGTTACTCAGCTGGAAGGTAGAGGAGACAAAGCCACAACCACAGCTGTCTAGAGCCTCTGAGAGGGTGAGATTCCCTGATACTTAGAAAGGTTGGGTAGAAAATGGGTCACTAGAGCAGAAGTACAACCCCCTTCCCAGAGATCAGTAGGCAAAGTTGGGAGTGAAGGGTTGCAGCCTCGGGGAAGATTGAAGAATGAGGAAGCTGACGAAGGGGTGGGTCTCTCCTATTAGCCTGAAGACTCTGCTCCCTAAGACAGGGTCAATATGGCCAAGGACAAAACAGAAAAGCATGAGGGCACCTTTGGCATGAGAAGCCGCTGAAGCCTAGGACTGCTGACCTCCTACTGTTCTCTGTTCCTCCACTCACAGACTCTGTTGGGACTGGGGCAAGACCGTGGGGTATAAAAGGAAACATCTGTCCCCCTTTATAGGACCTAAGCAGGCTAAAGGGCAAGGCCATGTGAAAAACAAGCTCGGAAAGCATGAGGGCCGGTTCTGTTTTATTGTTGTTTGGGGCTTAGGTTTTGTTTGGATAGGAGTAGGTGGGTGATGGTTGATATGGAATTTGGGCGCACATGTGTAGCAGGAGAGCTCTGCTATAGCAGCTCATTTTCCAGGTCTGCTCTGCAGACCCATGGTGGGCAGACCCATGTTACTCTCAGACCCCCCACCCTGCCCCTAACATGAATCCACATCTGACGCTTTCCACAGGTACGAAGAAGAAATCAACAAGCGCACGGTGGCAGAGAATGAGTTTGTGATGCTGAAGAAGGTGAGGGGACAGGGATACTCCCTTTTAACTCCCAGGCAGCTCCTTCCAGGAGTGACAGCTGCCACTTAAGTCAGTGGCCTTTGCATATAAGGCTTGAGTTAATTTGTGCAACGAATCTTGGAAGCAGGTTTTACTTTAGAATTGAGAAAACTCAGACTCATGGAGCTTAAGCAAGTTACCCCAGGTTACCCAGATAATCAGAAGTGAGTCAGGATCCAGGGCTCCAAAGTCCAAGTCATAAATCACAACACCAGCCCCCTCCCCACATGGAGTCCAGTGCAGGGAAAAGGGAAGCAACATGGGCCTTACACTGGGCTGAGTGTCCATGACATCAAGACAGGCTTGGGGGATGGTGTGAAACAAGGATCAGCTCCACAGAGTTGTGGGCTTTCCCACTTAGCTGGGGACAGGCAGAGGGAGGGAAGAACCAGCCCTGAGCTAAACTGCAGGAGGGAGAAGGGAGCAGTAGTGTATGAAGGGGAGGAAGGGGCAGAGAGTGCAAGGAGAAGGGGAAGCCACTGAGAGCCTCAGGGAGAGGCTGAGAGAGCCCAAGGGCCCAGGATGGGGTTATCCTCACCATACGGAGGCGACACAGGAAGTCTTTCCACATGGGCACTCCCTGAGCCCTGATCCTCACACAGTTTGGATCCCCCCACCTCACCCCTGCCAGTCCCACTCCATAGCCTGGAATAAAGAACTGCTCTCATCCCTGGGAGTTGAAGTTCTCCCGCTCAGCAGCGGAGCAGGTTAACCCAGACTGGGTAGGACTCAGAGTGACAGCATGTTCTGTGCCCAGGACGTGGATGCTGCCTACATGAACAAGGTGGAGCTGGAGGCCAAGGTGGATGCCTTAATGGATGAGATCAACTTCCTGAGAGCTTTCTACGATGCGGTAAGCAGTGCCCATCGCTCCCCTCAGAGTGGCTGGAGGCTGGGTGCCCTCGGCTGGGCACAGGGGTTACCAGTTCCTGTTCTGATCTCTTCTCTGCTCTGCCCCCATCCCTGGGTTGGAAGTCAGGGAACAGATGCTGCGTCCCTTACCTAAGGAGAAAGATGAGGTACCTGATGGGTCAGGTGAGGTGAGAAATTTAACCTTGACCTCCTGGACCACATATGTCTTGTTGGTCAGACAAAGGAACTGCATGATTTCCATAGAACTATCTGAGCAACTTGTTCACCCATTTCAGCTTAAATTTACCTGTTATTCTTGGCTACAGAATGACACAATTATGCAAATCAAGTGACAGTCAGTGAGCCTTCAGGTGCTTCTAGAAGCACACAACACAATTGCTTCGTTCTCCTGAAGTCACGTTTTGTTAAGAGTCAGACATTATTCTTGGGAGCTGCAGGCAAAGCATTGAGCAAATAAAATCAAGCCCCTGAGTTCTTGCATCTTTTGGTGCAGTGTGCGAGACTGGCAGCAGAGCCTCAATACCATATCAGGCACAACAGGGACAATGAAAAAAATGACAATAAGGAGCAGTGGCAAGCAGGAATGCCAGGAAGAGGCAACGTGGCTGGAGTAGAATGAGTGAGGGGAGAGAGATAAGGATGGAATCAGTGATGTCAAGGAGAGACTGTAGAGGATATTGGATGCCCCCAGGTAGGCCTCGTAGGGACAGGTGATATGCCCAGGGGGTTACATATGTTCGGTGCTCAACAGAAGCTGATCATGTTTTTCCAGGAGCAGGAACATCAGTTCTGTGTCTTTGGATGGCTTCAGTGACCAATAGCTCACATGGGGCAAAAAGGCATCATTTTCTCCTTATTCACTTTAATCCTGACACGTGTGCTGTTTGTTCCTAATTCTGAACTAGCTCATAGCCCAGCAAGCCCATGGGTTGAGACTCTCAAGCTACAACAGCTACCAGCAAAAAACTATGAAAAACAAATTGCAGGACACAAAAAATAACAATTTCCTGAAGCAGGAAATGCATGAACCAATTGTTAGTTAAGAAAGGAAGGAATATTTTCACTTAAATTTGTGTTTTGGACAGGTTATTTTCAAATTTTAGAAGCATCAGAATCTTCTAGAGGTCTTAGTAACACACAAAGTCTGATTCAGTGACTCCATGGTGGGACCCAAAATGTTGCATTTCAACCAAGTTCCCAGGTTATGCTGACGTTGCTGGTCTGAGGATCACATGTTTGGAACCACTGCCCTAGATGAAGCTGAGGAGTAATCATTAGTAAAAATTAATTGTGGGTTTATTGTTTCAAAAGTCATTTCACATGTACATGAATTTATTAAAGGCTCCTGTCTGAGACTCAGAGATGCTATCTCACCTGCTTGGCAGATCCAAGACTTAAATTTTTCAGTCAGGCACCCTTTCTGTTCTTTCCAGCAAATTTCCATTTCCTGTCCCCAAGTTACTGGGAAGAGCAAAGTTGGGAAACAAGATTGAGATGCAGCAAGGCTTTTTGGCTCCATCTGACTCAGTTTTCTGTCACAAGATGATTTCTTTACTTGGTGTGAAAGGGTGTGTTTTTCTCAGAATATGAGACATCTTGGCACTGACAGGTTACAACAAGGTGCATTCCCTTCACAACAGGAGTGACAGAGCAGCTAGGGTTACTGTGCTGCCACTCCCTCCATGCAGATGGGTTGATGATAAGAATGGGAGTGAACCCAGTGACCTTCCTAACGCCCCAGCCCTGTTAGACCTAAGCCGACTGCTACACCCCAACTGTGCAACTGAGGCCCTCAATGTCAAGACCTGTTCCGGGGACCTGGTGACAGTGTCCCAACACACATGCACACACACACATGACATCCTGCTCTGCTCTCCCATTTGTACCCCATCACAGGAGCTGGCTCAGCTTCAAGCCCAGATCTCTGAGACCTCTGTGGTCCTGTCCATGGACAACAATCGCAAGCTGGACCTGGACAGCATCATCGCCGAGGTCAAGGCCCAATATGAGGACATCGCCAACCGCAGCCGGGCCGAGGCTGAGTCCTGGTATCAGACCAAGGTGAGGTGTCAACATCATGTTCATGAAACAATTGTACAGAACTGGAATTTCAAAGATAAAAGCCTTGTCCTCTCCTATGTCTCCATCTGATAGAGTTGAAGGGATCTATCTGAGTTCAGCCTGGGGCTTAGCCTCTGTACTGAACACTCCTTGGGCTGCACCATCAGGACCTGAGGGAGTAGCCGAATAAAGGTAGGAGGTGGTAAGTCCTTCTGCCACTGGAAGGATGGACACACCTCCAATGCCCTGTAGAGGAGAGGCAAGGGAGAGCTGGACATACCATCCACCAGGGCCAAGAGGAGCAAGAGAGGGAGGGTGGGAACAAGAGGTAGGCTGAGCCTCCTGGATCCAGAGGAGAAAGCTAGAATAGTCTGGGGCTGAGGGAATGGGGAGTAAGGAGGACAAAGGATGGATATGGGTCACACAATGACACTTTCCAGATTAGAGCCAACACTCTGAGCTGGGGAGTCAGTGGGGATATGAGATGTGGTATTAAGGAAAAGAAACACGAAAGAGCTTTAAAATCAGAGAGTGATGGGCTGAGAATGAAATGCCTAGTTTCAATGGAGAAGAACAAAAGGCTGTATCCAAGAAGAAAGGTCCAACTGTGGTGCAGAGCTTGTGGACACCAAGAGTGAGAGGCAGGGCCCAGGGACAACAGGGATGGATTTGATGGAGAGTGGCAAGGGCAAGGCGAGGGGCCTCCAAGCAATGCATTGAAAGCTTGTTGGACCCTGGGAAATGACTGCCTTCTCTTCCTTGACCTGAATCTGCTTCCTCCTGCTTCTCCTTCCCCCCAGTACGAGGAGCTGCAGCGCTCTGCTGGCCAGCACGGGGATGACCTCCGCACCACCAGGATGGAGATCTCTGAGCTGAACCGAATGATGCAGAGGCTGCGCTCTGAGATTGATAACCTGAAGAAGCAGGTAGTGTAGGACTGAGCTCCCAGAGGCATCCTAGCCATGCCCCTACCCCTGGGCAGTCCTGGGCCGGTCCTAATTCAGCCCATGCAGAGTGAGGCCTCCCCAGATGAGTGACCACCCAGGAAAGCACAGCCTCCTGCCTCACCACGGGTGTCAGGACCTTCTTCCTGAATTCTGTCCAACACCAATGCTCCCAGCAAAGGCTCTGTTCCCTGGAGGCATCCATGGCAGAACCTTGACCTGCTTTACTTACCCACTATCCACAGACATTCAGCATTGGGAAGGACCCCACCCCCAAAATCATTTTCTCAATCCTGGCTGTCTCAAATTATCCACAAGGGACAGAGATTAATCTTATTTTTAAACATGATAAAGCTCCAGACTCCTTTGTATGAAATCCATTTCTAAAAATTCCTCCATATTTTTAATCTAAAGCCCACATCTTTCTGCATTCTCTGTGGACAATTTCACAAACCCCTGTGTTCTCCTGGTAGTGTGCCGCACTCCAGGCCGCCATTGCGGATGCCGAGCAGCGTGGGGAGCTGGCCCTCAAGGACGCCAAGCACAAGCTGACTGAGTTGGAGGACGCCCTGCAGAAGGCCAAGCAGGACATGGCCAGGCAGCTGCGCGAGTACCAGGAGCTCATGAATGTCAAGCTGGCCCTGGACATCGAGATTGCCACCTATAAGAAGCTGCTGGAGGGAGAGGAGAACCGGTGGGTTACTTTTTCCTCCCACCATGGCTCAAACAGACTCCACCAGAGCATGATAACAATGCCGCAGAGGCCAAGAACCCCACAGTGCCAGGCCCCAGACAGACATACCAAGGGTAGAAACAGGGTTCAAACACAGCTGCTTCCTGGAGGCTGCCTGCAGTCACAGCTCCTCCCACGGCTCCAACTGGACATGGGGCAGGGGGCAAGGTGTAAGGTCTCAGGGAAAAGTGGCCCATGACTACCTAGAAGGCCACCGTAAGGGCCATTTTTGCCCTGACCCTATGACAAATGAGGCCAGACTTTGGACAAGCCTCACAGGGCTCTGTGTTACCCAGATATGCCTCCAGTCTAATTGTCCCTCTCTATGTAGTCAGCACGGGTCCCTCTCCCCATTTCTCTACATATTGTAACTGGTTTTATCATCTAGATGTCCCCTCACAGATCCACAGGAACTTCCTTAAGCTGATGAGATGAAAGGAAAGTGTGTAAAGCATAGTGTCTGGCACACAGTAAGCGCTCTGTGCTGACAGTTCTAAACACAGAGAAGCCAGGGCTCTTTAACGTCTCAGCAAATGTCTCTTTCTCTCCCACCTGCAACAGACTCATCGGAGAAGGTGTTGGAGCCGTGAATATCTGTGAGTAAATGTCTTGGGATGATAGAAAAGTGGGAGACAAAGTGGAAGCTGATAGCATCACTGACAAGGATCTGATGACTAGAACATGAACAAGCTGGTTTAGGAACGTCATTAAGACCCTCTGAGGGGCTTTGTGGAGACCTCTGTCTTCTTTGGCCCTTCCTCCCAGTGGGGTCGAGAGAGACTTGGGATGACTCCTCACCCCCAGGGCCCGTCCCAGGGGGGGTCATATGTCCACAGAAATGACTCCACCTAAGCCTCAGGGGACCCCAGTGATAGGGCAGAAGTGGGTCCCCCATCTGAACCCCTGCTTTCTCAGCCAGTTCTGGCAAGGATTCAAACTCACACAGTTGACAAGAGCCTACTAAACAGGCTTTCAAATGTAAAGACTTCCATTTAGAATGGAAGCAAATTAATTGAACAAGCTGAGCCATGACTGACCCGGCTTGGCCTCAGCCCACCCGAGGGAGGTGGGGAGGAATCATCTCCCATAGGGACCCAGCGGGTGGTATTCATGGAGCCCTGAGTCCTGGGCATGGGAAGGAGAGTCCCCTTGGGCCCAGTGTAGATCAGACCACATTAGGGCGGCTGGAGAGTCAGGATGAGGGAGAGCTTGAAACTGATTAATAAAGGAAACAGACATAGTTCCCCTGGAGAAATATACCTGAGAGGGGAGGTCACAGAGGTGTCTTCAGATGTCGGATGGGCTAGGGACAGCTGCATCTAGAGACAGCGCGCTCCCTGTCACTGTCAGTATTTGAGCAGTTGCCTCTACGGACGCACGCAGCAGAGGGGGATTTGCATGTGGGGAAGCTCATCTGGATGGCTTCCCGGCGTATCCCAGCAAGGAAGTCAGGAACCCCTCACAGTGTGCCAGGCCTCACACTCCATTGGGTGAGAGCCCCTGGTGTAGATGAGGACCGAACGCCACGAGGGAGCCTAGTGCCTTGGTTTCTGGCAGGGCTGACCTTGGGCTTGCAGCTTGATCTCTTTGTGCCTCCAGTTTTCTCTCTGTAAAAAGGGGGTGCTCGTAGGCATAGCATCCTCTCAGGTCAGTTGAGGTCACAGCTGTGAAAAGGCTTTGAAAAGGACGTGCGATGGGGACAGGAGTCCGTGCCCACCCTCTGCCCCTACTCCTGGGGGACAGAGGAGATTCCTGATCCCTGAGGAAGTACCGTGGGAGGGCACCAGACCTGGGGAGGGTGGGTCTTGGGAAACTGGCGGAGACTGCCAGTGTGCTCTGTGCCTTCTCTCTACAGCTGTGGTCTCCTCCTCCGGGGGCGGCGGCTACAGCGGGGGCGGCGGCTACGGCGGCGGCTGCTACGGCGGGGGCGGCAGCGGCTACAGCAGCAGCCTCTCCTATGGCACCGGCAGCCCCGGCTTCAGTTCCACCAGCGGCCGCAGCTTGGGCGGCAGCACCTCGAGCATGCGCATCATCTCCAAGACGTCCACTAAAAAGAGTTATAGGAGCTAAAGGGTCCCACCCACCTCTGCTGCGGCCCCATCCCTTACCCCTGCCCTAGCAGGCCCCCACTTCCCTGCCCCAAGGCCTGCCGCTTTGTTGACACCCACTGCACACGATCAATCCTGGCAGCAGGAAGCACAGGGAACGGGAACGGGGAAATGAGTTCCGAGGTTGCCTTATCCTCCCTCCGCCTCAGACAGGTCCGCACAGAGGCACCCGACCCACTCCCCAATCCCAGAGCCCTCCAGGGGCCACAGGCATCCTTTCTGACTAATGCTGATTCAACTGCTCTGAACCAGACCTGGGCTAGGACTTTGCCCTTCAGTAGCTTGCAGAACAGGAGTGCAGTTGGACCTTCCTCCTTCTGCCCAGCCCAGACCCACTGCAGCCACAGCCCTTCACCTGCCCTACTTGCTCCCTGTGCCTGCTAGTTGCCTGAAATAGCTTCAATAAAATGTCACCAAGCTCTGTGGGTCTTGACTGAGTCTGGGTCCTATCTGACATTCAAAGGACAACCTTGGAGCTGGGGTTCCCTGGGAGCGGGGCTTAGAATTGACCTTGGTGCTCCAAGAAAGTTGAGTGCAGTCTAGGCCGAGTTTCCGCATGAGCTTTCTCACCACAGGCAGAATACTTCCCCTGCAGGCCCCTGAAACCAGGAAAATGTTGCAACCCCTGCCCACATACAGCCTCTTCACCTTCTTCCTTCTTGTCTTTGCTCAGGCTGCCCGCCACTTTTGCATGACAACTCCCACCAACAGCATATTTGAATGAGAAATCAACACCCATCAAAATATTACCATCTCTTGATTATTCATAGGAGAATGGGATAATTTTATCAAGAATCCAAAAGTTCTTTATGGCCAAGGGCTGCATTAGGTGATATTTTATAGCCAAATTCCTTCCCAATCTGCCTCATTTAAGCCACATTAGAATTACAGGCCTGAACAGCACTGTCCTGATGATGAGGGGGAGGAGGCAGGCTCTGTGAGGGTGCGAGAAAGGCAGCCCAGCACCAGGTGCCTACAACAGACACTCTGGGAAAAGGAGTCCCGTCAGCATCTATTAGAACTGCCCTGGGGGAGTCCACCTGCAAAACAACCCACCAGGCTCAGGACTTCCCTTACCTCTGTGCTGGCCACATCTCTTCTGGGAAGTTTTCCCTCCTTTTCTACCCGGTCTTTCCACTTTCCCTTTCACCCTCACTCCTGTTACACTCGTCCTCTGCCATCCTGTATGTCTCCTCTCTCCATCTCCCTCCTCTCCTCCTCTCTCCTTATTCATCTCCTTTCTTCCTCTCCCTCCCCCACTTTTCTGTGTGGCAATACATTTCCTGCTCTTTCTCTCTCCTGATTTTCCTTTTTCTATTTTCCTGTCTCTGAAATGTCTGTGGTGTGGATTTGCCCACCGCCAGTATTAGTCACAACTGAAACTCTTGAAGGCAGGCCACCAAATGCCCCACCCACACAGGGAAGGCCTGAGAGAGCAGACCCAGAGGAGAGGCAGCTCTTCCTTCCATGTTCCTGGGGGGAAACGCTGCTCAGCCCCTTGAAGGGCAGAGGTAGGGTGGCAGTAGAATAGGGGGGTGAGGAAAACGCAGAGATCTTTCCAAGGCTGGCCTTCACAAGGCAGTTTCCCTCTTTAGTTAGAAGAGTTCTAAACTCTCAAAACACCTGCCACGTATTCAAGACAGAAATGCACTCCCAAGACAAGTAGAGATGAGCTGCCACGTGGCTGACATGAAGGCAAGAGTTCCCTGCTTCAGAAAAAGTCACCCCCACTCTGATCATTTTAAACCCTTCTCAACTACCTGCTCCCTGTGCCTGCTAGTTGCCTGAAATAGCTTCAATAAAATGTCACCAAGCTCTGTGGGTCTTGACTGAGTCTGGGTCCTATCTGACATTCAAAGGACAACCTTGGAGCTGGGGTTCCCTGGGAGCGGGTGTCTTCTAATGAACAACCCTACTTTCTGCCCCAGAGCTCTGGTCCTGGGCTCCAGGGAATCCAGCACAGTCACTGAGACCGCTCTCTGGTCTGATGTGTCCGGGAGGATGCTTTCCCATGTCCCCATTGTCCCCAGTGAGCCCTGCCTCCACAGGTCTGCCCACTATGTCATTTATTCCCTCTGGCGGGAGTCTGGAGGAAGTTTGCTCTCTGTCCTGGCTTCTCAATGTCACCGTCACCACTAACACCATCTCCTGGGCCCAATTCTGTGACACTTCCTCCACGGCACCATAAGAATCCCCTTCCTGTGCTCCATGCAACAGGATCCCACCCTACAGTCTCTTGTTATAACCCTCACGTGCCCTGGCCCCATTCTTCCCTCCTCAGCATGCTGGGACCCAAAGTCAAGACTATGCAAAAAGGGAATTTGTGAAACATCACAGTTAGACTGAGAATTTCCAAGCACAAGAAAGGTCTGAGTTCTAATCTCCTAATCTACAGGTGGGGAAGCCAAGGAACAGGCAAATATAATGCAGATTGGCTGCAGATCCCCAATTCTTAACCCTGGCTTCTCTCTACTGGAGCAGCAGAACACAGGGACGTCAGAAAGAATGGGATTGGACTCAGCCTTAAAGGAGTTGAACCACTCCACTCCTCACTTTCCTTATATATAAAATAGAAACTCCATCATGGTGCTACCATAAGAATTAAATGAGATAATGAATGTAGAGCTCAGGGTGGTCCAGCACAGAGTAAGCACCCAATAAATATTCTTACTATTATTGTTATTGAGTTGATTCTGTCCTGGGAAAAGTCACAATGTGGAAGGGAAAGACCCATTGGCCACAGCAACAGTTTCACTGATGGAACTGATGGAAATGGGGAGGAAACAGAATGGGCTTAGTAGTTCAAGCATCTTCAAAGAGTTGTGACCTGGATGCTGGGGAGAAGGCCTGCATCTCGTATCTACCTGAACAATTCCTGAGGGAAACGACTATTCCCAGAGACACCTTTGGGCCTCAGGGAGCCTCAGTCTGGGGTGGGAAGAAAGCAAAAGAAAGAGTGAAATGGAACCCCAGCCTAATGGCTAACATGGCTGCATGTTTTGGAGAAAGCATCCCTTCCTCTCCTCTCCTCAAGTACAAGGCATCTCTTCTTGAGTCCCCTGTGGCCTTTCTGGTCTAAACAAGCCCTGGAGACAAGACTCTGTCTCTGCAGCCTTATCTCTCAGGAGCTGTAGGGGGAAAAGGGGTAAGGAAGCCGGAGCCAGGGTTCTGCCTGACTGGAGGAAGGATAGGCCCAGCCTGCTTATTTAGGCTTCTCCCACCCAAAAAACCTTCTGCTCTGGGAGCTCCTAGGATCATCTGTCCATGAAGGCACTTGGGTCTGGAGTACTTGCAGAAACACATAAAAACAGCCTTGAGGAAATAGAGCATCTTCAAACATATCTAAATTGGCCTCTGATTCCAGGGCGGCCAGGGTATATAATCCATGCCCCCTCTCCAGTGAAGTGGCATAAAGCCCCACCTCTCCCTTGCCTTGAGACTGAGCCTCTGAATGTGATAAACACATCTGCCTGGTTGGCCCCTTTCATCACCTCTGTAAACAAGGAAGGAAGACACATGGGATTTTTATAAGGCCACCAGCACTGACCATTGGCTCTTTTCTCTGCTCTTTGCTACCCTAATTATCTATCAGGGTACTTAGAGCTGCCAATGTCACAAGCTCATAAACCTGATTTAATGGCAATTGGGGGTTTGACCCAGCTCAGCCCTCCATCCCACTACCAGTTAAAAGGGTGGGAGCTGAGCTGACGTGAAGCTGTCATCTCCCATTCTCTCTGCCAGGGCCCACCTCTCTGCCTCGCTCCCCTGCCATGTTGTGCCGATCCTTCCAGCAGGGCTCCAGATGCAGCAGACGGAGCTTCAGCTCATGCTCGGCTGTCCTCCCCCAGGTGGTCACCCACTATGCAGTGAACACGGGGCCATGCCGGTCTGGGGGTGGTGGCAGCCTCCGAGTCCTGGGTTGCCTTGGCTCACAGAGCCTGTGCAACGTGGGCTTTGGGAGGCCCCGGATCGCCTCCAGGTGTGGCTCTCCTGGCTTCAGATACCGAGTGGGGGCCACCTGTGGGCCTTCTGCCTGCATCACCCCTGTCACCATCAATGAGAGCCTACTGGTCCCACTCGAGCTGGAAATTGACCCGACTGTGCAGAGTGTGAAAAGGGACGAGAAGGAGCAAATGAAGTGCCTCAATAACCGCTTTGCATCTTTCATCAACAAGGTAAGACCAGGACCATGGGATTCAGAGAACACTTTGTATCTGGTCCAGGGGAAGCAGGAGAAGACTGAACATAAGAAGCCATGGTTCATCTATTGGCCTTTTCACTAGTCATTGAAAGCTGGTGAGATCAAGGTCAGCACAGAACATTTTTGTTTGCTGATCCTTTGTTTTTAACATATCATCCATCTCTGAGGAATTTCCAAAGCAATAATAGATACTGAAAGGAACAACCTAAGAGGTCTTCTTGATGAGGCTTTAGCAATAGAGCTGCTTTCTAAGTGTCTGAGCTTTGGCCACACCTTTCAGTGTGGAGGTGGGAATGGGCACTGCAACCTCGGAGTTTGCCTTCAGCTTAGGTCTGTGATAAAGAGAAGACACAGGAAGGTGGTTGAGATTGAAGCCTTGTATCTGTCAACCCCAGAGCCACAACTCTGGAAGCCTTTGGGAAAGGGTGGCATGCTGTCTTTTTAAGGCGTTGACCTGGCCCATCACCCTCAGCCACCTCTGGGCCTGTCCCCACACCCCTGTTAGGGGTCAGAACCCATGCTAAGGTCTGAGCAGGCATTTCTGGTCACTACAAGGTTTAGGGCAAGGAGTCTTGGGTGAGAAATCAGAAGGCCCGTTGGCTCCAATCCTGACTGTTATCCTGAGGCTCTATGCAAACCATTCGCTTCCCAGCCTCAGGGAAGGTGGGGACAAGTCAGGGGATGATGGTGGGAAAATTTTGTAATATATGCAAAAACCTTCCAAAAAGGAGCTTGTTTTAGTGAATGGGGTCTGTCACACA